TGTTGTGGTCTGCTTCGGCAGACCTGCCGTCGGGGCGTCGTAGTTGAATGCGCCCCATTAAGACGGGGGAAGGTTTTGTTGGGTTTTAGTGGGTAGTACTGGCTTTGCCGGTGAGTCCCACACCTCGTGCGTAAATGCATTTCCCAACGTTAAAAAAAAAAAAAAGAAAAAGGATTTCAACTTTGTTACCTACTATCGTATATTTGTTGTTAAATGAAATATACTATTTATTTATTTTTACCGCGAGAGATAATTTTACTCCCCCGGGAAATCACATTATAATACAACCCACAACAACTCATCATACCTATGTAGGTATATATATAATACTAGCAGTACCCGCGGCTTCGCCCGCATCCAAATTTCCGATCGCTAACAACATTCACGGGATCACCCACTGGGCTAATCTGAAGATTACCTGAAAATTTCATCAAAATCGCTTCAGCTGTTTTGAGTCAGTTCATGGAAAGCATACAAACGAACATCGATTTTTATTTTATTTAATCAACAATTTAAATTTATTTATTGCTCGGAAAATGAAGTCTTTTATGAAAATTTAGTGATACACCGACTGCAGCACCATCTACTGGTTCCATTTGTGTTTTCAAACCTTGCAGGGACCATTACACAAAAAATATCATTAAAATCGTCCCTGCCGTTTAGGAGATGATCAGTGGCACAACGACTGCAGTGCCACCCTACCGGGTTCAATTGTGTTTTCAAACCATCCAGGCGCCCATTGACATATACACACAAAATTTCATCCAAATCGGTTTAGCTTTTTATGAGGAGTAAGTTAACAAACACACGTATAGAAGAATTATATACCTATATTACGATATAGTCTATCCATTTCATACTAGCCGTTAAAACGTAGCATCAATAATATAAAGAGCTCTTTATTTTTGCTTTTGGAATTATTGATTAAAGTAAGTTTATAAGTTTATCAATTTAAATTATCTAAACTATCTCTAAATATTTTAGAACTAAAAACATTTGTGTATTCAACGATCAAAATCTGAATTGTGTGAAATATTTTTGTGAAGTTGTTGAAATTTGTCGCTTTAAGCACCCATCAGTATTTTTGATGCGAAATAGTGGAATTTTAAAGAAATATTCAAGCGAATATGTTTTCAGAAATAATGATGAGGCGACACCTGACTTGTGGTGTATTGAGCTAAAATTTCGACGAATATGTCGTGGAACCACATTCGAATAATATTATATCTCAGCATCAGACGTCAATTAAAGGTAAAAATTCAAGGTATTGTGCTGGTGTACAATAATAATATGGTATATTACAATAAAAATATAACTAAATATGTTGACACGTTTGGCTCAGTTTGTATTGACCCTACTTGCTGTGCCAGCGGTCGCGGGTTCGAGTCACGCTGGGGACATTCATTTGTGTGATGAGCATGTTTGTACTCCAGTCATGGATGTTTATATTTATAATATGTGTGAGTATTGAGTATGTATTTAAAGTTATATATGTGTAGTGTATCAACTATCTGATATCCATAACACAAGTCTCGTAGATTAAAATGGAACTAGATGGTGCTAATGTTCAAACATATTTATCTATTTATTATTATTCACTAAATCTCATGTTGATTATACCATGGATTAAAACGCACATGTATAAAAATATAGTTATCGAAAGACTCAGGGAACATTTGACATGATCTTTTGTTAGATAAGACGACTATTATCTTGTTCCCGCTTAGTAGAAAAATCAAGGCACAATTCAGAAAGCAATAACATGCTATAAGTTTCATCGGGAATTTCTGTCTTATTGGAGACGACTTGGTAAGGGCGTGCCTAGACCGTATCTAACTGTAACTAATGATTGTACGAATAAGATAAATTGCTATAACAGTTTTACTGAAACCCTGCGTCGTAGTGTAGTATAATTACTTATAATATATTTTTTAACGGACTAAGAAATCGATCAATAGATGATATTAACTTTTAAATACTAGTTTTTGTACAAACTATTTCATTTGAATGCACTCTTATACATTACTTTATATTAATAAAATAAATAAGTTTGATTATCTAAATAAATATAAGACGATAAAGCTGTATTAGTCTTAAAAATTTTCAATACTATTTTGTGCAAGAATTCTTTCACCTCATAACATGCAGCGCTATTAACATAGAGATAGAAAACTGTCTTTATAAAATATAGGCATAAATTGTGTATCATTATATTTTTTCAACTAAAAATATGTTTAAACTTCAAAATGATTATTCCATACATTTACAATTTTCTTTATGAAAAAAATTGTGGTCCTCTTCAGATACAGCCTATTCATTAAAAAGAATAATTAAAATCAGTTCACAATAGGCAAAGGCACATACGTCGTAATTAAAATACACTCCAAAAATATACTCTAATGAAGAACTTCATCTTTTTGAAGTCGATTAAAATCGATTATTTTTCTTTTAGAAGATAAGTCAGCTAACTCAATCTAACTTTTATAATATTTTTATTATAGGTTTTCTTGTAAATGAAGTTGATGAACGCTAAACGAGTGGACCTTTCAATAACACGTATCAAGTTCGAGATATGGCATTGTTTTTCTTATTTTTATTTAACACTAGCGACTTCCCCTCGCTTCCCTTTGGGGCGTCACTACTCTCACGCGTTTTAATTTTTTTGGACAAAACCCTATATTTTTTAAAATAAAAATAGCCTAAAGTACTCTTTATAACATCAGCGATCTGCCAGTGATAGACCCATCAAAATCGATCCAGAAGTTTCGGAGATTAAACAAACAGACAGACACAAAATCTTTAAAAATTGTGTTTTTCTTATATGTACCGTGTATAATTCCACACGCATTTAGTAAAAAGCTGTTATTTTCATTACAAACAGACACTTCAGTTTTATTTATCTATATAGATATGTATACAGTAAAATTCCAGTGATATTTTTCCAAATAATGTAAAATGCCTTATACATTTACACATTGGAAACAATTCCAGTATTATTATAGCTGCCTGTACCACAAATTATATATTAACGAGTTATTTAAAACCTTGTACGAGGAAAAAAAGAAAAAAGAATGGAGTTGAACGTTTCGGAAGAGATTATAAGAAGACCAAATGCTTATGTCATATGTGTTTTCCCTAACTTCTGAAATCATTTTTTTATCTCAAGCTCGTTAATAATTGAACGTGAAGAATTCGCAAACGTCTGTGTTCGCGGCTATGAAGCCATTTGACCTGAGAGCAGATTAAAGTAATGTCATACTTACGCAGATTAAAAATAATACCCTAAGGGGTTATTAAGAGGGTTATAATATAACTTATTTATAAATAACTAGCGACTTACTCTTGCTTCGCTCGTTTTTTCTTTTTAATTAATTTTTTTGCGAGCAACCCTAAGCCTTTTCCTAAAATAAAAGTAGTCTATGTTGCTCATATTAGCTATCTTTCAGTGAAAGTTCCGTAAAAATCGGTCGAGCCGTTTCGGAGATTAGCCGGAACATACAGATAGACAAAAATTCAATAAAATGTTTTTTTTTTCTTTTATGTACCGTATATATACTTTCTTGTGCATTTAGTGAAAACCGTTATTTTGATGATTACAAACATACACTTCAATTTTGTTTATTTGTATAGATTCGCGACTTACTTTCGCTTTACTCACGAGTGTCTCTTGATGCCTTCTATATTTTTAATATTATTATATATCACATTCAGGCAGCGCCATCGTTTGGCTTTTATTTTTATATTACTAACATTAGCTTGTTTTCCTCCTTCTTTTCTTACTAAGATTATAGTAATTAGTAAATTTATTATAGTATGTATTAGGATATGCCGTATGCGTTAGTTTATATTATATATGTAATCTTTACATATAATAAAATTGTAACTAAGCCGAATCTGTACAATAAACGTTTTTTGAAAAAACTTATTGAAATAAACATTATTATCGATAAAGACGCCGAATCTATTTTAGAATTTTTGTCTGTCTGTTACTGCATCACAGAAAAACCACTGGAGGGATTTTGATGAAATTTGGTATGGAGATAGCTCGTTATCCGGATCAACATATAGGATACTTTTGACCGCGGGAGAATGTTTCATTTTTGAGAAAAAATACAAAAACTGCAATGTAATAGTATACTAATATGTAAAACCTAAGAATTTGGTTTTTGGTGATCTGAACGCGGGTGGAGCCGCGGGCAATGCTAGTATTATATTATTATATAAAAAATGACTATGGTTTCGCATTAGGGGATATGTGTGTATGCGCCTATGCAATAGTGCCTATGCGCCAAAGGTCGCAGGTTCGATTTTCGTACAAGGTAGGTACTTATTCATGTTCTTCCGTTTAGCTAACGAATAAAATAGTCTAAACTAAAGAACTAAATGAGAATTGTTACTTTATACTCCCACTATATTAATAAACATAGATAGATAAAAAATCTGGCACAACGTCCAAAATATTGTGAAGAAATCTTATAAAAATTCTGTACAAGTAACTTATTGCTCTAATCGACCTACATTACCTGCTTAGCAAACCAAGTTGTAACGTGCATCAAGGTTTTGAATACAGAATAGCATCTTTTCCTTTTGTGTGATATTGTATGTACTATTCAATTTAGTTTTATTATTTACAAATATATTTTAAGTAGTAATCTATAAAAGAAAATAACAGGGATGACTTTTTTTTGGAAACCAGATATTTATATTATGTATGCTTCAGCTGGGTGCGTCCCTAAGCTTGATCAAAGACAAATGTCGGAAGATAAATGCTATTTTTTGCCCCAGAAATCTTCGCAAGCGTGTTGTAAGCCAGAAGAGTTTCATCACAATCGGGTCAATGGTTTCGGAACGCATAGAGGACAAACGTACGAACATTTATTTTTATTTATATGGATAGAAGAATGATAAGGAGTATAATAAAACTCAATTAATTGAAAGACACCTGTATAGCAAACCTTAAAATTACTTTAAAAATATGACTTATATCACATTTAATTTTACTGTGGTATAGGGACATTTATAAGTTCTTCATAAGGAACCATAAGGAAGAATTTTTCCACTGTCCTAAGCGCTAAATCTACTGCATAGTCCACGATAGGCTTTCCAAATTCTTCTGCAACCATTTTCCAGTGTTCATTTAGAAATTTCAACACTGATGCACCTGAAAAAGGACAGAGAAACATTATTTAATTTTAAGTTTAAGTGAAAAAGTTTACTTATCAATAAAGAAATATATAGAAATAAATATGTATTTATCATTTTGTCTTCTTATTCGTAATGAATATATTATGTATTTACGAGTATATCTTGTATTCGTTGTATGAATACGCGCAAAAATTTGAGGCAGTTTTAGAATTTTGGGCCTAAATATAGGGTATACTTGCATAGAAAAATTCTAACTTAATCTATGTTTAAGTTGGGTGTAAACGTATGTATGTATATTGTATACCTATCTGTGTCATTGTGTCATTAGGCACTTAAGTAAAACTAGGTCAGTTAGAAATTTATAAAATTATCGGATAAGAGTATGAGAGTTCGAAGTAAAATTACTTTTTAGAGGTCAAAATACGATGCTTTCAATGTCTATTTGGTTCTTTCGTCACCATAATTAATAGAATACTTTTATAATATAACGATTATTAAGCAGATAAAATTAGCTTTACGTCAGTATTTAGAAGCATATGGAATGATACACGTTAATGATATTATAAATATTTATGTACAACAAGTGAAAAAGTGTTTCGTCAATGTTCATTTCAAAAACGAGAAAAGTTTCGAAATGGAACAAGCCATAAAAATAACTTATCAAATACGTATATCAAAAGTTCGAAAAAAATAAACGAGTTCACGTATGCAGGAAATTAATAAAAAATATCTTATATTGTCCAGAAAATCATTTTTTTTATTTTAGAAAAAAAAAATATTATTTGCATATATATATAGAAGATTCCATAAAACAAAATCGTTTGTAAGTTTTATCGTCTATCCTATGGGAAACTACTTTCTAGGGTAAAAAGACGTTACTGTCACACACATAATAGAAGATATTTAAGGTTACAAAACAAATTATCTATTATAACTTTATTATGTTATAATAATATTCTAGCTATTACGAAATTATATTACTACGCAGGTGTTAGGATTGAAATAAATCAAAATTTTTGTTTATAGGTCACCTATTAGTTCTAGCGGCAAGCTAAACGATATTTTTTTTTAATGTAAGGAAATGAATTTACATATACTTACCACCTGTATACAGTATTACTGTATAACACAGGTGGTTATGTGGGATACAACAACCATGGGGTTGTCCCCATGGTCCACTCTGCTATCCGAGAAGAACCACGAGCAATTTGCTTTTTACACAGCCCACTGAAGTGGGCCACCTCCCTGCGTATCTCTTGGCTTCGCGTCCGGCTAGATTGCCGGTCGCTAATCGCAATTTGAAGTAAGTATTTAATACGTTTTTAGCCCATTTCAACGTCCCACTTCTGGGGACGGGCCTTTTCACACTACACCACGCTGAACGGACTTCTCATTATGTCTTTCGAAAATCTGTTAGATTGTCTCAGACATCCCTTACGACGTTTTTCTTTAAGATAAGGCAATTTTATTAAAATTCAAGATTTTAATATATTTTATCATAAAGTACTATTTCACTTACTTAGTTCTTTGCTTTCTTTAAAAAGATTTTGGAGGTCAAACGTGACGCGGTCACCGTAGTCGAAAGTGTACTTATAGTTCTTGATAGCGAAGTGGTTGACGCCCTTATTGTCTTTGATATACTTCGTATTGATATCGAGTTTCATTCTAAGGTTAGCTGAAACATAAGTGTAATCAATTTATGATTAGGTACATTTTTATTTTTAAATTACAATGTATTTGTCCTATCATGGCATGTAAATAAAACATTTAACCAAATTATACATTTCTTTTTATTTAACTATCTGTCTGTCTTTAATATTTTATGACTCCAATTTCATAACATCCAAAACTAGCAATAAATTTCATACCGAGTGTTCTTGTATCTCAACGGGTTAATTAAAACTAAGCTTATGGCAAAGATATTCTTCCTGTTTTATCCTGAGTACAAGATCGTCATGGTTTTATTAATATTTATATTTTAAATTAAAACAAATTCCTACTTAGTTTAATTTTAGCGTCGCCCTCTCCGTTGATAGGGAAAAGTAGGATTTTTCCAATAGCATCATATTTTCCTCGAATGGTAAGATTAGTATGAAATTCCAATACAAAATGTCGTTTTTCCAATTCAGATCTGAAAAAGAGGAATATAATAATAATATTTCTGGACCTATCCAGATAAATTTCTGGTTTTATGCAGATATCTAAAATTAATAAACATACCCACAATTCCTCTCGAACCTTACATACACAAACATACATACTAGGTGTAAGTAATTACTTATTATACTATTATACTAGGCTATATTAATTGTAATTATACTATTAAAATATATGTTGTATTCAGCCCTTATTAACGTCCCGCTGCTGGGCACGGGTCTCCCCTCAATACGAAGGGGGATCAGGCCATAGTCCACCACGCTGGCCAAGTGCGGGTGGGCGGACTTCACATGTTTTTCGAAAAATTTGTAGGTTCTCTCAGACATGCAGGTTTCCTTACGATGTTTTCCTTCACCGTAAGACAAGTGGTAATCAAATTGGAAATGTCAGAAATATCAGAGGTGCGAGAACCGGGATTTGAACCCGTTTCACTCGGTTTCCCAAGCGAGCGCGTTACCACTAGCTTATAAATCATATTTTGTTATATGATAAAAAATAAACACCCAACGAAAATGATAAAACTATGTTAAAACCGTTTACGAGCGTGCACATAGGAATTCATTCACTTAGTTGAAAAATGTAGGAATTCATTCGTTACAAGCACCCAAAAATATAACGTGTTTTTCATAACGTCTCTAAGCAATAAAATTTTTGTTGAATTGGCTAATCATACGATTTTCCTCACTTGACCTTCAGAAATATCTACTACATATTCAATACTCATCATAATTATTCATATTACGTACACATGTACATTACACTAGCGACTCACCCTCGCTTCGCTCGGGTTCGTCCCTAACTTGATTCCCCATACAAACTTTCCCCCCCCCTTAAGGGTTGATTTCCGGGATAAAAAGTCCTATGTCCTTCCCTGAGTCTCAAACTATCTTCTTACCAAATTTCATCTAGATCGGTTCAGTAGATCCAGAGAGGTAGAGGGTAACTACTACGCCAAAAACTCACAAATTTTACCTCTTTATAATATTAGTACCTACCTATAGATATAAAATAAAATATTTATAAAAATAAACAGTGCAGGATATTTTTTTTACTAAAGCTTTTTTAAAATTCGTGAACACAAGACTAAAAAAATACAAAACGAATAATTCTTAAATAAATCAAATCAAGGTCAAGTATGAAGTATGATGACTTATAGCCAAGTTTTAAAACTAGTATAATATTATAGTATGACCTGTGGTTTTAAACCTAACAAAAAAGCATATAATGATCAAAAACCAATCAAATAAATAAAATAATCTTACTAAGATATTAATTATTATACTAATCTTTAATGTATGAGCGATTAATAACGGTTTCAAGTTCAGCAATCTGGTTTAGAAGGTTAGTTGTTTTAATGGATTCCGAAGAAGTACAAGGGACATTAATTAAAATAACTTGCGAGGGCGTACGTTAAAAGGGAACATTTATCTCTGTAAAAGTCATGTGGTTACATCTTAACAGACGTCGCAGTAATTAAATGTGTATATAATTTATAACTAAATTATTGAAGTTATATTTCTTTTGGCACGTTTGGAAAAAATTATGAGAGTAAAGTTTTTACGATGTGCCCGCACGCCGACAGCCAAAAAGCGACATGATGAAATTAACTGCATTCCTTTTACAAACAGAGAGTTGTTTCATACGGGATGAAATCTTTAGTTATTTTTGTTCTATTACGCCATATATAGGTACGCCACTATAACTTCTTACGTGCGTACATACATAAACACTTTTTTTTTAAATGTCATGAATCATCATCAATCTTTTAATTTTTTTGGAATATAATTATTATTATTAACAAGTACTTTCGACTTTTCAAAATAATTCGTATGAGCTCAGTGTTCATGTTTTTTGCTTATTTATAAAGATCGGGTTCAGAAGTGAATTGATGTGTTATACGTAGAGTAATTTAAGAACGTGATTGATGCGTTTATGGATTTATTTTTCTTATAATATCATTATAAACATAAAAATAAACTTTAATAAAACCATAATAATGTCGTAAATCTTAATAAAAATAACATAATTCAATTAATGTTTATAGAAACCATCGTTAGACAGGGTTTTGCTTCTTATTTTTATGTCGACTTCAAAAAGGGAAGTAGTAGGTAGGTACTAGGTATGTACAATACAAGTCGACTGTTCTTTAAAAAAAATACCTAATCAGTATTCTGAAAGTTGGTGTAAGCCAAATACTTAGTATAATCTTCAATCAATCACTTATTACAAACGAAACTTTGAACAAAATTTTACATTTTAAAGTTTAAATTAAATTAAACAAAGTCAATTTCGGTTAACAGGACAATAAAAAATAAAGTGTTTATAAAAGACTATAAGAATGAGGTCTTCTAACTGAGTAGTCAATCTCATTACTCTTTAGCAGGTACTCATACCTACCTGGGTCATTACAAAGTATTCATTTTATTGAACTGTTTATCTTCTTATAAAGTGGGTTATATGTATTTTTGTAACTTATTATTTATATTTTGTTTATTATTTAATATTTTACATAAAAATATAGAAAATTTTAACTTTATTATATAAACTTATAAGTTTCATAAATAAATGAGCTTTCATTTTATAGAAGTTTGCCATACCTATTACATAGTAACTACATATAATGAAAAACCTAAGGAAATAACACTATTACCTACCTCCCTTTCTGGAAGTCATTTAAATTATCACATACTAATGATTCGCCCTCGTTTTGCTCAGATAGGTCCCTAGATGACCTTCCCATATAAAAGTAGTAGGTATATATCATAGAAATTCTTAGAAAATCTATACACATAATAAAATTGGAATTAAGCCGAATCTGTACATTAAATATTTTTTGGAAAATCTTATTGAAATAAACATTATTATCGATACAGAGGCCAGAATCTATAGTTTTTAGAATTTTTGTCTGTCTGTCTGTCTGTCTGTCTGTCTGTCTGTCTGTCTGTCTGTCTGTCTGTCTGTCTGTCTGTCTGTCTGTCTGTCTGTCTGTCTGTCTGTCTGTCTGTCTGTCTGTCTGTCTGTCTGTCTGTCTGTCTGTCTGTCTGTCTGTCTGTCTGTCTGTCTGTCTGTCTGTCTGTCTGTCTGTCTGTCTGTCTGTCTGTCTGTCTGTCTGTCTGTCTGTCTGTCTGTCTGTCTGTCTGTCTGTCTGTCTGTCTGTCTGTCTGTCTGTCTGTCTGTCTGTCTGTCTGTCTGTCTGTCTGTCTGTCTGTCTGTCTGTCTGTCTGTCTGTCTGTCTGTCTGTCTGTCTGTCTGTCTGTCTGTCTGTCTGTCTGTCTGTCTGTCTGTCTGTCTGTCTGTCTGTCTGTCTGTCTGTCTGTCTGTCTGTCTGTCTGTCTGTCTGTCTGTCTGTCTGTCTGTCTGTCTGTCTGTCTGTCTGTCTGTCTGTCTGTCTGTCTGTCTGTCTGTCTGTCTGTCTGTCTGTCTGTCTGTCTGTCTGTCTGTCTGTCTGTCTGTCTGTCTGTCTGTCTGTCTGTCTGTCTGTCTGTCTGTCTGTCTGTCTGTCTGTCTGTCTGTCTGTCTGTCTGTCTGTCTGTCTGTCTGTCTGTCTGTCTGTCTGTCTGTCTGTCTGTCTGTCTGTCTGTCTGTCTGTCTGTCTGTCTGTCTGTCTGTCTGTCTGTCTGTCTGTCTGTCTGTCTGTCTGTCTGTCTGTCTGTCTGTCTGTCTGTCTGTCTGTCTGTCTGTCTGTCTGTCTGTCTGTCTGTCTGTCTGTCTGTCTGTCTGTCTGTCTGTCTGTCTGTCTGTCTGTCTGTCTGTCTGTCTGTCTGTCTGTCTGTCTGTCTGTCTGTCTGTCTGTCTGTCTGTCTGTCTGTCTGTCTGTCTGTCTGTCTGTCTGTCTGTCTGTCTGTCTGTCTGTCTGTCTGTCTGTCTGTCTGTCTGTCTGTCTGTCTGTCTGTCTGTCTGTCTGTCTGTCTGTCTGTCTGTCTGTCTGTCTGTCTGTCTGTCTGTCTGTCTGTCTGTCTGTCTGTCTGTCTGTCTGTCTGTCTGTCTGTCTGTCTGTCTGTCTGTCTGTCTGTCTGTCTGTCTGTCTGTCTGTCTGTCTGTCTGTCTGTCTGTCTGTCTGTCTGTCTGTCTGTCTGTCTGTCTGTCTGTCTGTCTGTCTGTCTGTCTGTCTGTCTGTCTGTCTGTCTGTCTGTCTGTCTGTCTGTCTGTCTGTCTGTCTGTCTGTCTGTCTGTCTGTCTGTCTGTCTGTCTGTCTGTCTGTCTGTCTGTCTGTCTGTCTGTCTGTCTGTCTGTCTGTCTGTCTGTCTGTCTGTCTGTCTGTCTGTCTGTCTGTCTGTCTGTCTGTCTGTCTGTCTGTCTGTCTGTCTGTCTGTCTGTCTGTCTGTCTGTCTGTCTGTCTGTCTGTCTGTCTGTCTGTCTGTCTGTCTGTCTGTCTGTCTGTCTGTCTGTCTGTCTGTCTGTCTGTCTGTCTGTCTGTCTGTCTGTCTGTCTGTCTGTCTGTCTGTCTTTGTCTGTCTGTCTGTCTGTCTGTCTGTCTGTCTGTCTGTCTGTCTGTCTGTCCTGTCTGTCTGTCTGTCTGTCTGTCTGTCTGTCTGTCTGTCTGTCTGTCTGTCTGTCTGTCTGTCTGTCTGTCTGTCTGTCTGTCTGTCTGTCTGTCTGTCTGTCTGTCTGTCTGTCTGTCTGTCTGTCTGTCTGTCTGTCTGTCTGTCTGTCTGTCTGTCTGTCTGTCTGTCTGTCTGTCTGTCTGTCTGTCTGTCTGTCTGTCTGTCTGTCTGTCTGTCTGTCTGTCTGTCTGTCTGTCTGTCTGTCTGTCTGTCTGTCTGTCTGTCTGTCTGTCTGTCTGTCTGTCTGTCTGTCTGTCTGTCTGTCTGTCTGTCTGTCTGTCTGTCTGTCTGTCTGTCTGTCTGTCTGTCTGTCTGTCTGTCTGTCTGTCTGTCTGTCTGTCTGTCTGTCTGTCTGTCTGTCTGTCTGTCTGTCTGTCTGTCTGTCTGTCTGTCTGTCTGTCTGTCTGTCTGTCTGTCTGTCTGTCTGTCTGTCTGTCTGTCTGTCTGTCTGTCTGTCTGTCTGTCTGTCTGTCTGTCTGTCTGTCTGTCTGTCTGTCTGTCTGTCTGTCTGTCTGTCTGTCTGTCTGTCTGTCTGTCTGTCTGTCTGTCTGTCTGTCTGTCTGTCTGTCTGTCTGTCTGTCTGTCTGTCTGTCTGTCTGTCTGTCTGTCTGTCTGTCTGTCTGTCTGTCTGTCTGTCTGTCTGTCTGTCTGTCTGTCTGTCTGTCTGTCTGTCTGTCTGTCTGTCTGTCTGTCTGTCTGTCTGTCTGTCTGTCTGTCTGTCTGTCTGTCTGTCTGTCTGTCTGTCTGTCTGTCTGTCTGTCTGTCTGTCTGTCTGTCTGTCTGTCTGTCTGTCTGTCTGTCTGTCTGTCGTCTGTCTGTCTGTCTGTCTGTCTGTCTGTCTGTCTGTCTGTCTGTCTGTCTGTCTGTCTGTCTGTCTGTCTGTCTGTCTGTCTGTCTGTCTGTCTGTCTGTCTGTCTGTCTGTCTGTCTGTCTGTCTGTCTGTCTGTCTGTCTGTCTGTCTGTCTGTCTGTCTGTCTGTCTGTCTGTCTGTCTGTCTGTCTGTCTGTCTGTCTGTCTGTCTGTCTGTCTGTCTGTCTGTCTGTCTGTCTGTCTGTCTGTCTGTCTGTCTGTCTGTCTGTCTGTCTGTCTGTCTGTCTGTCTGTCTGTCTGTCTGTCTGTCTGTCTGTCTGTCTGTCTGTCTGTCTGTCTGTCTGTCTGTCTGTGTCTGTCTGTCTGTCTGTCTGTCTGTCTGTCTGTCTGTCTGTCTGTCTGTCTGTCTGTCTGTCTGTCTGTCTGTCTGTCTGTCTGTCTGTCTGTCTGTCTGTCTGTCTGTCTGTCTGTCTGTCTGTCTGTCTGTCTGTCTGTCTGTCTGTCTGTCTGTCTGTCTGTCTGTCTGTCTGTCTGTCTGTCTGTCTGTCTGTCTGTCTGTCTGTCTGTCTGTCTGTCTGTCTGTCTGTCTGTCTGTCTGTCTGTCTGTCTGTCTGTCTGTCTGTCTGTCTGTCTGTCTGTCTGTCTGTCTGTCTGTCTGTCTGTCTGTCTGTCTGTCTGTCTGTCTGTCTGTCTGTCTGTCTGTCTGTCTGTCTGTCTGTCTGTCTGTCTGTCTGTCTGTCTGTCTGTCTGTCTGTCTGTCTGTCTGTCTGTCTGTCTGTCTGTCTGTCTGTCTGTCTGTCTGTCTGTCTGTCTGTCTGTCTGTCTGTCTGTCTGTCTGTCTGTCTGTCTGTCTGTCTGTCTGTCTGTCTGTCTGTCTGTCTGTCTGTCTGTCTGTCTGTCTGTCTGTCTGTCTGTCTGTTACCGCATCACGAGAAAACCACTAGACAGATTTTGATGAAATTTGGTATGATGATAGCTGGTTATCCTGGTTAACATAAAGGATACTTTTTACCGCAAGAAAATAATTCATTTCTGAGAAAAAATACAAAAACCGCAATGTAAGAGTATACTAATACATAAAACCTAAGGATTTGGTTTTTGGTCATCTGAACGCGGGCGGAGCCCCGGGCAATGCTAGTCTGTTATATATTTATAATTTATAATAGCCTATAATCAAGCTAGATAATCCATCTTTTTACAGCTGAAAACTGTATGAAAATCCGTGCAGTAGTTTCTGAGATTAGTAGAACAAACACACACTCAGCGCGGCGGGGGACTTTTATTTAGCTAATACTTACACAGTAAAAATAAATAATAGGTATACAAAAGAATGAACTTACATAACATTATCAATGATGCAGTTCTTGAAGCCCGTTACTTTTCCTTGATAGAACGTGACTTTGAGGCCGCTGAGCGGTATCGCCAACTTTTCGATAACAAAAGGATCTAAAGGCGGCACGCCGAGGTTCGGCAAGCCTTTTACAAACTCGGGAATAGCATCTTGTGTTGATTTCACTAGACATTCTCTAGTAGTTGCATTACAGGGATGAATGAAGTCCGCTGTAAAAAAGATTTTATCATTATAATACTACTAGCGAAAGATCCTCACTCGCCTTGGGTGCATTTATAATATTCACCATTTCCCTGTCCCATGAGTCATATATGATCATTTCGATTGTTGAACTATTGTGTCTATTTTGCGGACAGTTAAGTTGTTAAGTACAGTTTGCCTTTTAGCAAATGGTGTGTCTATTCGTCCAGTAATCGGATGAATTAAAAATATTTTTTCCTCTGACTGTTGTTGTTTATTTGTTATATATAGCGTTTGCACTATTTTTATGGTTCTATAAAAAAAACATTGGGATTTAAAAGACTAGGTTTTCATCTCAGTATATTAATGGTTTTTTTTGCATATAGAAACACCTGCACCTAAAAGTCAATTATTTTACATTAGAAAACAAAAAAGTGGTAGATATTCGTACAAACCGTCAACAGTTGGACGAATAATATATTTTTTAATGTTGGGAAATGAATTTACGCATACATGTGGTTATCTGGGACTTACCGGCTAGAAAGCTACTACCCAACTAAATAATAATAAATTAATAAATATGTTGGGACATTAATACATAGCACGATCCAGTTCCGTGGTAAGCTACGAGGCTTGTGCTATGGATACCAGATAGTTGATACACTACACATATATAAAATACATACATATTATAAATATAAACACCCATGACTTACAAACATTCGTGCTCATCATACAAAATAAATGCGCCCAGCGGAACTCGAACCCGCGACCGCTAGCATAGCAAGTAAGGCTCAACAGTCAACATGTCGGTTTGCAGTTCACTCTAATTAAATAGTAAATTTGGCCTGACACAGATACCAACATTCCATTTACGTTAAGGTGTTAGGATAAAAAAAGGTCGTATTAAATTATACCACACAATTCCAGCCTGTTCGTGACCTTGGTCTAACCTAAATATTATTTAAAAAAATTGAGCTTTAAGAATTAAGAATAATCATTAAAAAAAACATAATCGTGAGAGATGAGAGAAATCGTGGTAGACTATAGCCTACTCACCCTCAAAATATTGACGAGAGGCTCGTTTGTGTGTTTAAACGTTATGTTTAAACTGACAAATGTAAGCACACAGCATGCATGGTAATTGCTAGTACTAAAATTAAGTAGTTATAGTCGGAAATATGTTATAAAATTATCGAACTTTTATATCATAACAAACTTTTAAATTATTTAGATTTAGCGAAATTAATACATATTTCCTTACAATATCTTTTTATAAAACGTTTAACATTTACGTTATACAAGGACAAACAAGTAACATTTTGATTTTTTGTTATAAAATCGTATTTTAACCTACAACTTGTAGTATTTAATAAATAGTATTGTATTTTCCTTATTCCAAATAGGTACATAGTCAAATGTCTTTATGCAAAAATAATTATTTTTGCCTTTTTAACGTCCCACAGCTGGGCACGGGCCTCCCTAACATACGAGGGGGATCAGGCCATAGTCTACCACGCTAGCCCAGTGCGGGTTGGCAGACTTCACATGTCTTTCGAAAACTTGGTAGGTTCTTTCAGACATGCAGGTTTCCTCACGATGTTTTCCTTCACCGTAAGGCAAGTGGTAATCATGTGAGAAAGGATTCGCACATGAAAATATCAGAGGTGCGAGACCCGGGATTTGAACCCGCTTCACTCGGTGTCCCAAGCGAGCGCGTTACCACTGGGCTACCACTGCCTCTCTAATAATATTTACTCAACGAAAATAAAGATATAGAAAACATAAAATATTGGCATAGAATACGTAAAAGGCAAAAGTGTATTGATAAGAATATATAAAATTTGTAAATAGTGGTTGTTAGAATGAAAATGATGTTGGAAATGATTCACTCTTCAGAATATCAGAGGTGCGAGGTTTGAACCCGCTTTACGCGGTTTCCCAAGACAGCGTGTTACCACTAGGCTACTACCTTATAAAAATATATTAGTTATAATTGGACGAGTAAATTTTTATAGATTATTTCTCTTAAAAATTTATTTTCATTATAATCCTAAAATAGCAAACAATATGACCATTAAATTGTCAAGTTTTTGATTAAATTAACAGATACAAGTAGTAGACCGTGACCTTTTCTTAATGAACTAGACAAGAGATAAGCTTCTATTTTTAGCACAAACTTAATATTTACATTATAAAAATAGCTATTCTGTCTATTCTCAGATGAATAACATGAATAATTAATGAAGATAAGAGAGTGATTTTTTTTATTAATATACACAAGACTTGCGCGTAATACATGAAAATTAGCATTGGAACGAAGTTCCTTAACGTGCCTTGCGGTAGCAGTTGACAGATAGAAATCGTAACGTAACGAAAAATCGTTACGAGACATACGGTTCCGTCCGGCGTAGTTCGGATGTTATCGTCTAGCGCTGGTCGCCATACTTGTTTACATTGTATGTTGGTTAATGTGCTCGAAGATCAGAGTATACTTCCGTTAAATAAAATTGTTTTTTTTTACAACTAACAGTTTTATTTAAAGTGAGATACATTGTCTGATTATTTTTATCTAACTAGTAATTTATTATTTACTATTTTATAGATATATAATTTTGAATAAATAGATGTTTTTCTTTTAATATTTGAAGAAACCCTTTGATTTTATTTCTTACATTGCATTATTTACATTGAAAAAATTATAGAAATATAAAACAAACGGATTAGAAAGATAGAGGCATTGAGAGAATATAACACTTTTTCCTCATGTTACGAAAATTTATAAATATCTATAATAAAAATATCCATATTAAATAACATTCAGATTTGAAGAAAATACGTGGGCCTTTTTATATTTAAGTAAATATAGAACACTATTTAAATACATAGAACACTATTTATATAAATAACTGTGCCTGTAAAGTCGTAGTTAATAGTTAAGCGAGCGAAGCGACGGTGAGTTGCTAGTTATTAATAAATAAAGTCATATTGATGTTTTAGACTTCGATAAATATGTGTGGAGTGTCAATACAAACTACGAGTACGTTTTATGTTTTAGCAGTTACATGTTAATTTGAGTGAATTCTAGGATATGTATTTGTTTATTTTATAGCAGTTGTGTAGTAAAAAATTATAAGCTCTTGTAAATACATTCCAAGGTAAGGAAACTTCTATTTAATTAAGACGACACGTTTGGCTCAGTTGGTAGTGACCCTACTTGCTGCGCCAGCGGTCGAAGGTTCGCGTCCTGCTGGGGGCATTTACTTGAGTGTTAAGCACGAATCTAAAATGATGTGTCCTCCAGTCATGGGTATTTATAATTATAATATGTATATATTAATTAAAAGTTATATGTGTGTAGTGTATCAACTATCTGATATTCATAACTTAAGCCTCGTATTGCTTATCATGGAACTAGATGGTGCTGTGTGTTAATGTCCCAAAATATTTATTTATTTAATTATTGAATCATTTTAACTGTTTTAATAGTAGGTATTTATGATTTTTTTGTTTATCTGTGATAAATGTAATATTAGAATTTTAATTTCTGTATAATATTGTAATTGCCACTTTGGTCAATCTAAATAAATAAATACAAAATAGTATTCATTTATTTTCTGTACTTAAATATATAAGCAGGCAGTGGTAGCCCAGTGGTAACGCGCTCGCTTGTGAATCCGAGCGAAGCGCGTTTAAATCCGGGGTCTCGCAACCCTGATATTTTCATGTGCGAATCATTTCTAACATGATTACCACTTGACTTACGGTGAAGGAAAACATCGTGAGGAAACTTGCATGTCCGAGAAAACCTAGCAAGTTTTCGAAAGACATGACGTGAAGTCCGCCAACACGCACTTGGCCAGCGTGGTGGACTTTGGCCTGATCCCCTCGTATTGAAGGTAGGCTTGTGCCAAGCAGTGGGACGTTAAAAAGGGCTGAATACAAATATGTAAAGATTTATTTTGTAATAATTAATAAATATATTTATTAGATTTAAATATATAAACTTATAAATATATTAACTATTTAAAATAATAACAGTTTAATTTTCATACACGTGAGGACACACAATATGTAATTACAGTATGCATCCTTGTGTAAACCACACCGTATATTGTTAAGGTTGTGTGAAAATCCTGTAATGCCTTCCGGAAGTGAAATACTTCATAATTGCATTTGGAACCCTCTATACGTAGTGTAAAATATGATTTATTGAAAATACTAATATCATTATAGAAAAATAATATTTAACTATGATGATTATTATTATTTACACATTTTTCTCATAGAGGTAAGATATGTTTAGAACTACACAATGTGCTGTTACAATGTTATTGGTAATAATAAAAAGCATTAAAGGTTCGTTATTCGTTATTATCTGTAATTATTCATAAGTACAAAATTACATAATTAGTCTATTAACTTCAAATTATATAGTAGTTTAACATTGAAGTTTTTAAAAGTATATAAAGACTATATACCTCACTATTGTAATATATGCACTGTGCTGTTTACTTTATTTATATTTTCATACTTTTTAGGAATCCGTTACTAAATGGCCAAAGTCAAGCCCAGAGTAAAATCTAATCTATCTATAAAGGGCTAGGAATCTTTTGAAATATTATTATGATAACAGTACGTACCTACTTATCGTAATTTTAAAGGAAATTAGATACTTTATTGAACGATTTTCGGTCACAATCTAACGGAAAAAAAATTAGTCTCTAGCGAACGATCTCGTGTATTATCTATACATATAATAAAATTCTAACTAAGTCAAATCTGTACATTAAATATTTTTTGGGAAATCTAATTGAAATAGACATTATTATCGATACAGAGTCGGAATCTACAGTTTTAAGAATATTTGTCCGTCTGTCTGTCTTTCTGTCTGTCTGTCTGTCTTTTACCGCATCACGAGAAAACCACTGGACAGATTTTGATGAAATTTGGTATGACGATAGCTAATTATCCGGGTCAACATATAGGCTATTTTATACCGCGGGAAAATATCTCATTTCTGAGAAAAAATACAAAAACACAAAAACTACGTTGTAAGAGTATACGAATATGTAAAACCTAAGAATTAGGTTTTTGGTCATCTGAACGCGGGCGGAGCCGCGGGCAATGCTAGTCATCGATAAATTTCCTAAGCTGTGCATTCATTGTAATGCCCTCATTAATTAATCCAAGCGGTTACTAAAAGATACTAGCGTTAAGATCTAGCGTTAAGATTTACGCTTTACACTCTATCCAAAGCACGAATGTCTACAAATTTTTAAAAATAGTTTAATAAATAATAGTGTCAATAACGAATATAAAATGCTTTAACGAGTTAACGCTTTGTGGAATTCTACTAAAATTTTTCATTATTAAATATTTTTTTGCAAAAATAAGAAAAATAACACTTGTGATATATATATATTGGGCAATCATAACAAAAAATCTGAATAAAAACGCAATTACATAATTGATATTAAAATAAAATGAAAATGATTCTTAAAAACTGATAAAAAGAAGATTTATTTGGGGCCAATAAATATTATGATTGAATATAATATTTTATTCCATTAAATAATTTTGAATATCTTTTAAAAAATTAACAAGTGATAAATCAGAAGAAACTCTTCAAACTGAGCTTTGACATCAAAAGAGTAAAACAAAGAGATCATAAAAATATTCAACGAGTAAAAATGACCCCTTAAAAATATTATATAGCGGTATATACAGATAAAACTACCCACGAATAGTTCTTTAGGCTTCGTTTTATTTCAGTAGCTCTTATATCTTGTTGACCTCCCAGTTATCTTCACGTTGATAAAGCACAAACTACCAGCTAAGATGAAATCTTCAACATATCAACTAAAAACTATAAAACTTAAGCTGTTAAGCCTTGAACTTAATATCATTATCTATATATAAATAGCATCACTTAGATTTTATTTTATTAGTGTATGTCAGATACATTGAGTAATGTGTAGACAATCAAAAATTTACTTTATCTGATGAATTATTTTTAGAAATGTAGGTACTGTTATAATAATTATTTATTCAAGTCAAATACCATTGTATACAAGAACCTTGTTTTATTAGGGTTTTTTTGACAATTTAAAAAAAGAACAGAGCTGAGCTTTTTCATATTCCAGCTGTTTTTTGGGTTTTCCCTATTTTTTTTTATACCCCTGACATACCCCCCAACAAAACGAAAAAATAATTACTCAAATTGGTTCAACTTTTTTTGAGTTTTAGCGAGACTAACGAGCGGCAATTGATTTTTATATAGAATAACAACTTCCATGCAATAATTTAGTCCGTTTAGTTACGTTATTCACTGATTCTAATTAATTTTTGCATTGCTAAGACCAATAATTACGAACTATTAATTTAATGCGATTTATATAAAATGTGACCAGAAATTATTGTTTAATCGATAATTAAGTAAAGCTTCAATATTATAAACAAAGTTATTATCTAAGTAGTTATTATAAAAATATATGAATAAAATATAAGTGTCTGTATGACACCAGTAACTACCTGCCTCTGTATAAAGTTCATCAAAGCCCATAATTATATTTTATGGCCTGTCTGTTTATTGTAAATTTTGTCTAAGTCGTTTATTAAGTCTATGAAACAGCAGAACTTATTTAAAAAAAATTAACAGATTATTTATTTTGAAAAATACGCAAAAACGCACTTTAAATTTTTTTTTTCTAATATATCCCATTAACACAAACCACAAAAATATAAAACATAATAAATTGCAACGCAGTTCTTTGTTACGAGTACCTCAAAAAGTTGTGAGATATAATGTAAAATCAAGTTGGTTTTAATATTTTCAGTACCTACCTATGAAAGCATCTATCTAGCAACTTTGTCATAAATTGTTACCTTATTAGTTAAATAACATTTTATAGTGAACATACCAATATTAGATATCTTTATTTCTTTAATAAATAGAATGAGTTAGCTATCGGACTCGGCAATCTGGGGCAAATTTACATGATAGATACTTATTATTAATCTATACATATTTAAAATAAATTTGAAGTGTCTGTCTGTGATTTCAAAATAGCTATGTTTTCTCAAATACTACAAAGAGTTATTTATCTGGTACCTAAGCATCGCTTTTTAAAAAAAAATATGTTTTTCTGTTTATCCGATGTAACATTTGGAAAGGCTTAACCGATTGTAATGGGACTCTCATTGAAATATAGAGGAGTTTGTAGGGTTACATAAAGGGTAAGTTTTATTACGGAAATATTTAGGATTTTAGCGCGAAAGTCGAAAACACGTAAATTCAAAACGTAAATTGCAAGGGATGCACTCGAGCGAAGCGAGAGTAAGCCGCTAGTAGTTACTTATATAGGCGAGTAAACTCTATAGCTTTATTAGTATATTTAACGGTATTTATACTATATTTAATGGTATTTGAAAGACTCCTGCAAAATAAATTTATCTATTGGAGAGATAAACCAAAAGATTACTTACATGAGCGCAATATTCATAATAAAGGAACTTATCAGGATCTAAGGATTTACCTAATGAATTTAGTATCGTAGTCAGCTCTTTAAACGTCCCACTGCTGGGCACGGGCCTCCCTTCAATACGAGGGGGATCAGGCCATAGTTCACCACGCTGGCCAAGTGCGGGTTGGCGGACTTCACGTCATGTCTTTCGAAAACTTGCTAGGTTTTCTCAGACATGCAAATTTCCTCACGATGTTTTCCTTCGCCGTAAGGCAAGTGGCAATTATGTTGGAAATAATTCGCACATGAAAATATCAGAGGTGCGAGATCCGGGACTTGAGTCGTTTCACTCTGTTTCCTAAGCGAGCGCACTACCACTGAGCTACCACTGCCTTCGAATTTAGTATTATAATTTTTAATATTGACAAATTCGTAAACAGCTTAATAAAACTATTAATTATTCTAAAATCTTTGTAGGTATGCTTTATTTACAGAATAAAAAATTGGACATTTATTATAAAATATGCAAAAATTTGTACATGAGTTGATAAGGATGTTTGTTTCTCTTATACCTTGAAACGACTGGATGGATATTGAAGTTCACAGATGACTGTTACCTTGAGTACCTAGGAAAGCTCCTAAGCGAAACAAAGGTAAGTCCCTTATAAACTTATTTTTAATTATTTGTAACTAGCGACTCATCCCTAGCTCGTCCCTAGGTACGTTTTAACGGTTAGTATAGATTTCTTAGAGATATTTTCCTGCAGTAATAAGTATCCTATATGTTGACTCGGATAACCAGCTATCCTATTACCAAATTTCATCAAATTCCGTCCAGTGGTTTTCTCGTGATGCATCTCTAGGAAGACAGGCAGACAGATATACAGACAAAAATTCTAAAAAATATATATTCGGCCTCTGTATCGATAATAATGGCTGTTTCAATAAAATTTTAAAACAAATGTTTAATGTACAGATTCGACTCATAATAACAATGGTTCAATATAATTATTAAATAATCAAATTGTACTCGATCGATACAAAGTAACATTGAGGGTTGCGAAATATAAAAGGTCAATGACAAATATATTATTGTTATTGGCAAAAGCACAACTTAATATTAATTTAAAATATGCTACTGGTATTTAAAAAAATATACTAAATTATTATTATTAATTTAACTTTGACTTCTACCTACATAAAATTTATTAAGTAGGTAACCTATTTCCCTTTAGTGTAATTACATCTCTACTTAAAACCCTTTAACATATCACAATGCATAATTTTTTGCTATTGTATTTTGATAAAATTGAATTACTAAAAATAATAAAGAAATGAACCAAAATAAAATCTTCACTCGTTTTTTTTCTTAAATAAATCTTACAAAAAATATTAAGTAGGTACTCACGAGCTAATTTTGCATGTCCCACACCGCAAAAGCCGGTAACAAAGATTAACGCGATAGCAAAAGCCGCTCTCAAAATCATTGTAACGAAAAGTTTTGTCATCATTAAAAATGACGAATACGAGGAATCTGTTACAGTGGATTCACTTCTACTACGGTTGCGGAGCAAATAACTGCTATATTTCGTTTAACTTGATAGATATGAAACCTTCAATCTGGCATTGTAGCGGACCGGTTGTATGCAGACCTTAACTTCAGCTTCACATGATACATTAATTTTCGCCTGCTTGATACGTAAATTTATATGACAGGAAAAATCTAAAAAAATAGGTTTTTATTTATTAAACTATATTTAAATATCATTTTGGTAGGAAACGTTTGAATGATTTAATGGGACAAAAAAAGCAATAAACTTAACTCCAAGACATAGTAATTACAGATTTTTTTCAAACATAAAAAAGTTGGTTTAAAGATTTTACAAATGGAATTTATTTACTATGGAATTAATAATATACAAATGGAAATTATTTATTTATTTATATTTAAATACCTGATAGATCCGGGATATATAAAATTGGAAGCTAAATTGGCAGTTTTTAAGATTTTCGAATTCATAAAAATGTACAGAATAAGTCCTTTAAAAGCTCCTACTGTAAAAACATTTTAAAAGTAATTAATGTGACCTTAAGCGTGGATTTTTATGAGTACTTCATCCTTTTTGATATCACCAAACCTAGTGTAGGTTACAATAATATTTAACCTGTTAGATTTAAAATGTACCAGGTGTTGTATCAGTTGTTTATTCTATGATCTACCACATAAAATAAAGATCATAATAACTGCTTATTTCCAGATTATATTTAAAACAGATAGAAATCAAATTGCAATACCACGGGTATTACAACTAATTAAGTACACGTAATAATACTTTGAATACATAGGTTATAAAACACTTTTTATCTTAGGTCTGCGATGTTCAAAAGCCTCAAAGTTAATTTTCAAATGTTTTTGGTATTATAAAATACAAGCATTGCCCGCGGCAACGCCCGCGTTCAGATGACCAAAAATCAAACTCTTAGGTTTTACATATTAGTATACTCTTACATTCCAGTTTTTGTATTTTTTCTCAGAAATTAGATATTTTCCCGCGGTAAAAAATATCTTTTATGTTGACCCGGATAACCAGCTATCATCATACCAAATTTCATCATAACCTCTCCAGTGGTTTTTCCGTGGTGCGGTCAGACAGACAGACAGACAGACAGACAAAAATTCTAAAAACTATAGATTCGGCCTCTGTATCGATAATAATGTCTATTTCAATAAGAATTTCCAAAAAATATTTAACGTACAGATTCGACTTAGTTACAATTTAATTGTATGTATAGATATTGCATGAGATATCTTATTTTTAATGATCGGACAATTTTTTTCTTAATCTATACTAATATTATAAAGAGGTAAAGTTTGTGAGTTTGTGAGGTTGTAGGGGGTAATCTCTGGATCTACTGAACAGATAATTTGGTAAGAAGATAGCTTGAGGCCTTGGAAAGGACATAGGATACTTTTATCCCGGAAATAATCTCCTTAAGGAATTAAAAAAAGGCAAAGAGGGTCCACACTCTTAAATAACAAAAAAAAGCTATTTTAATATAAGCATTTCGATAACTCTCATGGTTCAATTGGTCCAAATTCGATCACTGGCGATACACGGATGAATTGTATAAAAACGATACACGCCTAACGATTGTGAGCTATCACGTTTTGATAGATAGGTGTCTATGACGTACGTCAAATACATACATAATACATTCATCTAATACTTTTATATACGGATTTAAAATTAGACTACTTACCAGACACCTGTTGCAATTTTGTCCAAATATAGCATTCACATAATTTTACTAATATTCTGTGCTTCCTGTGATGAGTGATATAAGTCGAGTTGTACCCTTTTTGTGATTTTTACATAGAAATAATCAGAAAAAAAATTAGGATTTTTTTGTTCTAACTCACGTTCTTCTATCTACTATGGTTTCGGAGATAATTTTCTGCAAAGTGATATAAGTGGCAGGATTTTTGCAAAAATATCGTGAATATAGATATACTTATTTCAAGTTGTGACCTCTATAAGTCATTGCTGCACACACTATTTTTCGTGCTTCGTGGTATAAATGCGATTGTATTAATTTTCACATTTTATTTTTAGTAAATTTATCGTGTATTTTGATATTATTAGAGTTATATAACTTTGAACAGATTTTTCTTTACTTAGATTAGGGTACAATTCAACATGTACCTACTAATCCTAATTCTGTACAAATCAACCTTTATGTGTAAACGAATATAAATTGAATTGTATCTAAAACTCAAACCAAATCTAAAACGATAAGTACATCTCGCGCTTGAGATTCGCATACAATAGGTATTGCAATCATGGCTGAAACCTGCAACACGTTTATTTATTTATTATTTTAGGGAAATAAGCAGTGAAATCTATACATATAATAAAATTCTAACTGAGTCGAGTCCGTCTGCCCGTCTGCCCGTCTGCCCGTCTGTCTGTCTGTCCGTCTGTCTGTCTGTCTGTCTGTCTGTCTGTCTGTGACCGCATCACAGAAAAATCACTGGAGGGATTTTGATGAAAGTTGGTGTGGTGATAGCTGGTTATCCGGGTCCACGTATAGGATACATTTTACCGCGCAAAAATATCTCATTTTTGAGAAAAAGTACAAAAACTGCAATGTAAGAGTATACTAATATATAAAGGCTAAGGAATTTGGTTTTTGGTCATCTGAACGCGGTCGGAGCCACGAGCAATGCTAGTAATCTATAAAAATAATTTTAAACTAAAAACATTCACACACCGGCAAAGTTTCCACTTATAAATATATACAGGTAGAGTAAACATGATAATTAGTTTAAAGTTTAAAAACAAAATAGAACATGTAACAAAAAAAATGTTATAAAATAAAAACACTATAAAAAGGATAACAAAAAAATGATTTAAATAAATAACATAATCAAATTATAAAATCTAAAAAAAAACAAAACTTAAGCTCGAACAAAACTTAATAAAAATAATAATAATAAAATACATTATAAGGATAGGCAAATTTCAATATGAATTAAGATTATGATAAAGATTTTTAAAACACTTTCTTAATACTGTATACATCTAAATAAAACTATCGTTTCGGATTTTTTTCGCGAATTGATTTTGATTTTTGGTTCCCGACGTTTCGAATGCTTTAGAGCAATCACCCCCACTTTACAGTAACTGCCTGACTTCAAACTAAGCCAGCGGAGCAGATCGCTATGTATACCAAAGACTTCCAGCTTACGAAGTAGAATTTTATGCGATATTTTATCGAATCCTTTTGAAAAATCGGTATAATCGACATCTACCTGGTATCCTGCATCCATAAACGAAGAAACACGATGAATCAGTTCACATACATTGGATTCAGTGGATCATTTCCTAATAAAGCCATGCTGATTATCAATTATAATTGGTCTAAATAGAGGGAAAAGCTGATCAAAAATAATTTTTTTAACACTTGAGTTAAATAAGACGTGTACAACTGTTTTTCTAAAATTAATTAGTTAAAATTTACTCAGTAAAAATTGTTCAAATAATAGGAGCGCAGAACTATTGAAGAGTTAACGCAACTGTGAGCGATACTTTGTGTTTAGTGTGAGTGCGTGTGACGATCGTGAACTCTGCCTCTCTCGAAATTGATAGAAATCGCGCGTAATAGCATAGGATAGCAGTAGTTTACACGCTTTACCCTGTCAAGCTCATATTAAATTGGACGGTCATTGAAATAGTTCGTAATTATCGCTAACGCCCAATTTACTAAACCAGTCTAGAACTGGTCCCTTGACGGGACTTGTCAAAGCATACACTCCTGGTACTCTAACAACAATATTGAAAAGATGCCGATTAACCGCTCCCCACCGCAAACACAACAACTGACAACGCTCGCTTTGATTTTAGAGAGCAGAGCTTAAAGACAAAGGTCTTAAACGAGCGCGTCCTACATATTATGACCTGCGGAGCCAAAACGTGGACACTTGTGAAGCGATTGGTCCACCAGTTTAAGGTTGCCCAGCGTGCTATGGAGAGGGATATGTTCGGAGTTTCTCTGAAGGATCGGATCCGAAATTAAAAGATCCGACAGATACCCAAAGTTATCGTCATAGCCCAAAGAATTAGCAAGCCGAAGTGGCAGTGGGCTGGTCACATTTGTCGCAGAACCGATAACGGAAGAAGTAGACGGGTTCTAGAGACTACGGCTCGGCAAACGTAATGTAAGACGACGCCCTCCAGCTATGTGGAGCGACGATATACGTAAAGTGGCTACAAGCGGTTGGATGCTTAGAGCTGAAGATCGAGCTTAGTAGCATGTTATAGGAGAGGCCTATGTCCAGCAGTGGACATAAGCAGGCTGAATATGATAATGATGATGATAAAAGATGACAAAATTATATTTCCATTTCATAATATATTTGGACTTTTTTATTATTGATTTAGTTGAAATGAATTTATTAACCAGCTACTTACATACATAGGCGCAGAACCTATGTGTTTCTCCAGATTATAGGCACTCTCTATACCTTAGTATAGAGAGATGAAACTTATCATCCTAATCTGTCCAGCCGTCTCAGTGTGAAGCAGCTGGAGACATAAACATACACACATAAACTTATGTTATTTTAATCAGATTATAATATTTTTATGTAGATGTACATTTGAATTAATAATAAACTAAATGGCCGTCTAAATAATTATAATTAAAATTATCTCTTATGTTTTTGTATTCAGCCTTGTTTAAAGTCCCACTGCTGGGCACGGGCTTCCCTTCAATACGACCCCTCGTATCATCCATCGATGGATATTGATATCGATCAGGCCGTAGTCCATCACGTTGGCCAAGTGCGGGCTGGCGGATTTCACATGTCTTTCGAAAACTTACGAGGTTCTCTCAGAGATTCAGGTTTCCTCACGATGTTTTCCTTCACCTAAGGCAAGTGGTAATCAACGTGGGAAATGATTCGCACATGAAAATATCAGATATC